AACCAGTTTTAAGATTTGAGTTAATAGTGAAAAAATTTACATAAGGACCACCCATTCTAAAACACTTTTGAATGCGTTCTGATAAAAAGACTTTTACATGTATGCATGTTTGCATGTATGTGAACCATACAATGGAAGGAGGGGTTATAACCATAGAAAGAGAAGCTTGGAGGGTGTCCTGGGTAAGGACATTGAGATTTGGATTGAAGTATGGTGTATTATTTCATGTGGATGCAATTTGGGAAGATTTTTGTTGTGTTTTGTTGTGCAATACTTTAAGTCCTAAGCATTTTTAAGCCTGCTTCATGTTAACTTTAGAAGTGGTTGATTGAATTTGATGAAATGAATATACTAGTAAGGTTATGAAGTTTAATTTGTGGTTGTGTTGTCTTGAAACAAAGTGGCATCCAGTATGCATATTTTAACTGAGCTCATCTGCTCTAATTTTTAAGAACTTCGGTGAGATTAAGTAAGGGAATAGTGATGAAAGCAATGGTGTGGCATGTTCAATAAGATCTACAATTAACAAAACCACTTGTCAAATGTTTGTTAACTATAGTTACCACATTTTTTGGTCAAAGTATGAACCCATGGTGAGAATATTTGAAAGTGGGTATGCTCCCCAAGTCAGAAAAATTTTAGTAAATTTCAGAAGGCCTTTACTATCAACCCTCAAATAAACCATTTAAAGTTGAATCAAAGCTTTTCAAAGGAACAAGACATGACAATTATCCTTTTATCTTTCTATGTGAGGAATAAAAATTATTAAAATAGTGGATATGAAAGTTACACATTTTCATTTTTATTTTTTTAATATTTATTGATTTATTTAGCATGAGCAGAAGGAGAAGTAGAGAGAGAGAGAGGTAGAGAATCTCAAGCAGAGTCTTCATTGAGCATGGAGCCAATGCAGGGCTTGATTTCAGGACCCCGAGATCATGACCTGAACTGAAATCAAGAATCAGACACTCGACCCACTGAGCCACCCAGACACTCCATTTTATTTATTTATTTATTTATTTATTTATTTATTTATTTATTTATTTATTTATTTTAGAGTTACCCATTTTTAAATGTTGGGAAATTATGTAGAAATTCATGCCAACTTCATCTTTTCAAAAACTTCTATTTAAATTACAATTAAATTTAGGCCAAAGTGTACAAAACTTTTCAAAGATTTTGTATAAATTTACTAATTTCAGAGTGAAAATAAAATCCACAAATAAAGAGGGTAAAGCTAGGTGCCAAATTTTCATAAAAGTATAAATGGCGGGGATCCCTGGGTGGCGCAGCAGTTTGGCGCCTGCCTTTGGCCCAGGGCGCGATCCTGGAGACCCGGGATCGAATCCCACGTCAGGCTCCCGGTGCATGGAGCCTGCTTCTCCCTCTGCCTGTGTCTCTGCCTCTCTCTCTCTCTCTCTGTGACTATCATAAATAAATAAAAAAAATTAAAAAAAAAAGTATAAATGGCTGAAATAGTGCAGGATTTCCAATAATGCACCTTGAGACCCAACTTCCCTCTCTGTTGTTCCAAGGAGGGTCCTTTTCTCCTTTCCTCTCTGATTCTCTTCTGTGGAAAGCAGGTGGCAATTATTTAAACTTCTGGGGTGCATAGGGACTCCTATGTCCCTCAGGGAACCTAAAACAAAGCATGATTGTGTATCTATTCCTGGTTGACTGAACTGAGTTCCAGGTTTTCATATTTCATGTTTGTCTAGATCAGGTATGCATAATAATTGAGGCAGTTCTATTTCTATTACCAACACTACAGCCTTCAAAATGAATTTGTTCAAAAATAAATTCTTGGAGGATTTACCAATCAAGGTATCATCTTTTCATATAAAAAACTTTATATGAAAATTTTAGAGGTTATTTCAGAAAAGTAGGGTTTACAGTGACCTTCCTGGCAGATCAAAGACTGTAATTACATGTCATGGACCAGAAGCCTTATCTTTAAATTTCTGTGTTTAAAAACAAAATTAAACAAAAATTTACTATAATGCTGGCAGATTAAATTTGGCACAAATGCCATGCTAATTAAAACACTGATTCTGTTTAGGAGAAGCAAGACAATTTAATATTGTTTTTGTATTTGTTCTCATGAGCCTTTCTAAAAGGCTGAATTGTCATTTTATTTTATATACACGTTCAACATTGAAATAGCATAAACAATAACAACATTCACTAAATATTTACTTTGTATGAGGCACTGTACTAAGCACTTTATGTGATCTCTTCTGACAATTTATATAACTCTGCATTTATTACTTCTACTTTATAGACCAGGATTGGTACTGAAGCCCAGATGTTTTAAGTGAGTTATCTAATCTAGTAAGTGGCAAAATTAGGATGTGTAGCTCTTCCAACACTCAAACCCATACTTGAGAATGAATGTATCTGGCCAAGGAAGTCGGCATGGACCACAGAATCCAGAATCAGATATTTAGTTCTTGGCTATGACTTTCAGGGGTAGAGTCCTGATTTTCATTCCAGGATCCACATAATACCATGAACAAAACTTGGCTTCACTTTCATGAAACACTTGAAGAAAAATTATAGAACAGGACAAGAATCAAGTATGTGTGAATGTCTCCCTAAAATTAATGATAATTCACATTTGTTAGGTGCTTTATAGGTTCAAATGAATGTCATAGTTATTAACTGATTTTTTCAGTTTTTATTTTGAATTATAGATTCATAGGACATTACAGAGGTGGTATAGAGATGTTCTGTGTGCCTTTCACTCAGCTTTCTCCATTGGTTATATCTTACATAACTATACTACAATATCAAAACCAGGAAATTAACATCGGTGTAAAAAGACATAGTTCTATGTCATTCTATCACATATATAGGTCAGTGCAACTACTGTTGCAATTAAGATACAGAACTATTCCATTAGAAATTATCTGATTGAATAAATGCACACTTACTTGGACAATATATACTTAAATGTAATGTCTAGGCTGCTGATAAAATAGAACTTCTCTGAATGAGGGGCACCTGGGTGGCTCAGTGGCTGGGCATCTACCTTTAGATCAGGGCGTGACCCCGGGGCCATGGGATCAAGCCCTGCATTGGGTTCCCCGCAGGGAGCCTGCTTCTCCCTCTGCCTATGTCTTTGCCTCTCTCTGTGTGTCTCTCATGAATAAGTAAAATAAAATCTTTTTTTTAAAGAGCTTCTCTGAATTCATATCATTTTTCTCAGATTTAAAATCACTTTCCTTTCCTTTAAAATATATATGCAATCGCAGTAGCAAGTTAACGGAGGGAGTTGGGGGATCCCTGGGTGGCTCAGCGGTTTCGCGCCTGCCTTTGGCCCAGGGTGGGATCCTGGAGTCCCGGGATCGAGTCCCGCGTCGGGCTCCTGGCATGGAGCCTGCTTCTCCCTCTCCTCTGCCTGTGTCTCTGCCTCTCCCTCTCTCTCTATGTCTATCATAAATAAAAATAAGTTTAAAAAAATAAAGGAGGGAGTTTTGATCTCCCTGTTCATTTGACAGGTGTGTATTGTTCCACTTAGAAAGATGCAGAGACCAGAACTAAATGCTGACATTTAAGTATTCCGGGAATAAAAAATATTGGAGGAAAAATCTGATATTTTTCAATTTACCTGAAGGTATTTTATAACGAATTCTACTTTTTATATTTTGTACTTTCATATATTACCATTGGTAGTAAAGGGGGTGCCTTGTTCATAGACTTTTTATTGCCATAAAGTTGGAAGGGATATGATGATGAGTATTTTAATAGCAGTTACCATTTACTGAGTGCTTGTACACCATTTACTCTGCATACACATTTCAGTCAATCCTTATAATGGCCCTACTGGCTGAATATTATTGTCTTTTCTTTCTTTTCTTTTCTTTTCAGATTTTATTTATTTATACATGAGACACACACAGAGAGAGAGAGAGAGAGAGAGGCACAGACACAGGAAGAGGGAGAAGCAGGCTCCATGCAGGGAGCCTGATGTGGGACTTGATCCAGGTCTCCAGGATCACACCCTGGGTTGAAGGTGGCACTAAACCGCTGAGCCACCAGGGCTGCCCTATTATCCCTATTTTAAAGATGAATAAATTAAAGGCCAACAAGGTTAAATAAGCTGTACTACTTCCATAACATGATGTGATGTACTTGCAATTCAAACCCACGTCTGCCAAATTCCAAAGCTTGTGTTTATAATCATTATGTTCATCAAAAAGAGTTTTGTCTCTTTTCTTGTGGCAGGATTGCATTGAAGCCCCTAGAGGAAAGTTTTGACTTTAAAATATCCATAGAAGATTATTTCAAGGCCTCTTCAAAAACTTACACCAGTAGTCCACCTTACCGGTTTTAAAAAAACTATATTCCTTTGGTACATGATAAACACATGTCCACATTTCTGATCCTCATAAAGATAGTTACTTATTTTTACCACATAATTTCTGCTTAAAAATAATAATCATATACTCATTCACAAATAACCTCAGTCCCTAAGAAATTGGTCTCAAATCCTTGACTGGGTATAAATCGTAGTTTCACTATCTATTTGCTGATTGAGCCTGGGCAAGTTATTTACTTCTTAATTCCATACTCTCCTCATGACTGCTAGGGTAATCATGGTATCCATATCCTAAAATTATTATTTGAACTTTAATAGTTATGTAAAGAACCCAACTCAGTGTTTAGAACATGTGCTATTATATAAATAAAAATATGATTCTAGATATTGTTACTATACTCAGACCTAAGAATCCAATTATTCCATTTTTTTTTCCTTCAGACCATTTGTAGCTTCTCCAACATTTCACTAAACTATGGGACTAAATATAGTCAGTGAGTTCAAGATCTGATTTGTAACAAATGCAGCTAGTGATTTCACTAAGTTTTGGAGAAATCACAAAATTATCTGCAGTAAAATAATTGGGTAATCATATTCCATTCATTTGTTCATTCATTCAAACACATGTATGTGATGTTGTTGCCTTTTATTGTATACCAACTGTTTGATCTATTTCCAGATTCTCATAGATATTTTCCTCCCTTTTGAAGACTGGAAATTATAAAAAGCTGTCTGCAACAGCTGCTTTGAGGTCATCTACGTTTGCTGACTGCAGGTGGAAATCTCTTTCACAGAGCCCTAAATGGAAGGTGGTAAAATTTGGCTTTGAGGGAGCTGGACTCTACTAGCCTTTTGTATAATTTATCATCCACAAAGTGTGTTAAGGTGCTTTTGATCTTTGGAAACAATATCTTTCAAAGTGAAGGTGTTGCTTATATGTGACCGTTAGTCCTCTATAGGTATCTCAGTATCATGCTGATTTCAATGAGTGAATGAATTTTTAAGATGGTATAATGATGACTCAATTTAATAGAGAGACTCTAGATCCCGTTGAAATCCAGTTGGGAGGATCAAATGAGAGGAGGTATGTGAATAGTGCTTTGAAACCATAAAGCACTAAGTAACCATAAGTCATTTTATTATGATAATTTCCATCATATTTATTAAATTTTTGGTTTCACTGAACATTAAAAATTCTTTGCTTTCTGCAATATTAAGAATGGATTTCTGCCAAATAGTAACCATAAGAAGTGTTTTAAAATACATTCATACTATTCTTTGCATTTCCTTGTATTTCTTTATGGAATATATTTCAGGCACAGAACTTAAAATTTGGGTCACAGAGAAAGTTGTGGAAATGTATAGGCTTTGGCTTATAGAGACTTGAAGTTTTTTCCATCTTTCTGGTATTTTATTCATGTTAGTTTACATGGCTTCTTTCCTTTACTTCTCCTCCTCTGCCAGGTTTGGTTTTGAGCTTTGGATTCAAAGAAACCCCAAAGTCAAAACAAAATGGTCAGAACTGCTGACTCTTGTTTTGCAATCTTTTTTAGTCCAGCATTCACAGCAAGAGAGGGTAGTGACCAGAAACTAGGACTAACTTCACCCAACATGTTGGCAAAGTTCAGGAACCTTTGAATGAACTTGCACCAAGATAAAGGTATATACCAAAACTTCAATACTTTTCTATCTTATATTAAAGATAAATTTAATGAAATAATATCACCCTATGAAAAGTAGATTTAGAACTTTAAATTAATCCACCAGTTATTTTTGGAAAAATAAAATAATTTACTTTTTGTATTAAAGACAATCTCCTGGTTTTTCAAATTGCAGGTTCATTTTGGAAGGTCATATGTAAAATGTACTTAAGTGTCTTCATTGCCTTTGAAATTTTCTTTGAAGATTTGTAATTAAGAAAACAGTTGTGCTAAACTCTGCTTATCAGATTTCATCTCAGCATTTTTATAGTTTTGTTATAAACCTTCCACCATCATGTTTTTATAATGGAATTGCTGACGAATGCAATAATAAATACCATCTAAGGATCTTAATTGTATGTTCATGCAGGAATTATGCATACTAGTATAATATTTGGTTCAGTTTTCAGTGCTAATTTTGCCAAAATCTGCTTTCACATTGGGCAACCGTAAAAGATGATCGTCCCGAATAGCTGCCCATTGATGGTAAAAGGCTTCTGATTATTTTTACTTTCTTTGGAAAGTTCAATTATGTCTTTCAAATACAATTTCATATAGATCTTTTCTTGGTTTACATTTCTGAATACTAATAGTAACCTGATAATTATGGGGAACTTAGTTTGAGACCAAAAGGAAGGTTTCAGACTGTAAATTGTATGTAAATAAATCGCCCCAAATAACATCTAAAATGGTATTTAGATTCCAAATGTCCAAATAACTTTTAGATTTCAAAAACATTATTTTAATTTTCCAGAAGTAATTTAACAGTAGGATTTTTTTTAACTGGTGGAAGGTATTAAGAATACCTACTTGTAGTTTATTAGTGTTAGTTTAAAAGATAAAGAATAAAACAGTTTTGGGGCACATGGGTGGCTCAGTGGTTGAGCCTCTGCCTTCGTCTCAGGTCATGATCCCAGGTCATGATCCCAGGGTCCTGGGATTGAGTTCCATAGCAGACTCCCCACAGGAAGCCTGCTTCTCCCTCTGCCTATGTCTCCGCCTCTCTCTCTGTGTGTCTCTCATGAATAAATAAAATCTTAAAAAAAAATAACATAAGATGTGTTACACACTGAAAACATTTGTATTAAAAAGTATACTTGGGGTGCCTGGGTGGTGAAGTACATTAAACATCTGACTCTTGGTTTCTGCTCAGGCTCAGGTCATGATCTCGTGGTCCTGAGATCAAGTTCTGTGTTAGACTCTGTAGGCTACATACTCACTGTGGAGCAGAATCTGCTTGGGTTTCTCTTTCCCTCTTCCTCTGCCCCCCACATTCACTTGCACTCTCTTTCTCTCTCAAATAAACAAGCAAATAAAAATTTTTTAACAAATATACCAACAGATGGTAGTAGCTACATTGTGGTGAGTATAGCATATAGTGTAGAGTTGTTAAATCATTATGTTGTACACCTGAAACTAATGTAATATTGTGTGTCCACTATGGTAAAAAAAAAAGTAAGAAAGAAAAATTAAAAGAACATAAAATTTATGTATCTTACATGAAAAAAACTGAAGCTGTCATATTGCTTAGAAAAGTTGAGTGTCAGGATGCCTAGGTGGCTCAGCGGTTGAGCATCTGCCTTGTGCTCAGGGCATGATCCCAGATCTAGGGATCAAGTCCCCAATCAGGTTCCCTGCGAGGAGCCTGCTTCTCCTTCTGCCTATGTCTCTGCCTCTGTCTCTCTCTCTCTCTCTCTGTCTCTCATGGATAAATAAATAAAATCTTTAAAAAAAAAGTTGAGTGTCAAGATATGGAGGTGTACCAGATTCATGCAGATGATTTTGTCTTACCTCTATGGATGATTTGGTGTAAGAAATAAGTCAACCCATTTTTCTGTGTTTATAATCCTTATTTGGATTATTCAAATTATTCTATCAGTACAATGATTAAGAAAATGCCTTGAGGGCAGCCCCGGTGGCTCAGCGGTTTAGCGGTTTAGCGCCGCCTTCAGCCTGGCCTGATCCTGGAGACCCCGGATTGAGTTCCACGTCAGGCTCCCTTCATGGAGCCTGCTTCTCTCTCTGCCTGTGTCTCTGCCTCTCTCTCTCTCTCTCTCTCTCTCTCTCTCTCTCTCTCTCTGTATCTCATGAATAAATAGATGAAATATAAAAAAAAAGAAATGCCTTGAGACTTTACATTTTAAAGCAGCTTCTAAACATATAAAATAATTTACAAAGGACAAAACAGTTGTGGGTTAATGGATTCAAGAATTATGGATATAATTCTTCTGGTGATAATGAGGACATTGCTTATCATTTAGGGTCTCTTTAGATATTACTTACTATGGTGAAGAGGTATGCACTATAGAATATTACGTGCTTACTAAGAATGTGACTGTTTCAGAATATGAGGGAGAGGATTAAGGATGATGGATTGCTTGTATTTATTCTTTAGGACCCAGTGATTTTGAGGTCCTTTTTGTCTATACAGATTTTTTTTTAAATTTCTGGTTTTCAAAAAAATATTGATGATTCCTAGAGTTGAGCCATTTTTTTTAAAAAACTTAACAGATTTTTTTTTTAACATGATGTTTAATTCTCAGAAGAACTTTAAGGGGGAGAGTAAGTGAGCTTCTGCAAGTTCTTTCAATTTTGAACCCATTCACTCTATATATAAAATGTCATTATATTTTTTAATTGATTAAATAAATAACCCTATAAACACGAAGTATTGATGGAGCCACTAGCACTCCATAAGAAGTTGGGAAATAAGTAGTTATGTTCTTTCTATATATTAAAATGAGTAATTTTAAATTTATCTTAAAAAATACAGAGGGCACCGGAGTGGCTCAATGGCTTAAGTTCTGCCTTCAGCTCAGGTTATGATCCCAGGGTCCTGGGATAGAATACTGCATGGAGCTCCCTGCTCAGCGGGGAGTCTGCTTCTCCCTCTACCCTTCCCCAATGTTTGTGACCTCCCTCTCTCCCTCTCACCCTTTCTCTCCCAAATAAATAGATAAAATCATTAAAAAATACAGATATGCCAGTCCCAGTAGCCAAAAAGTTGTCTAGAAAAAGAGGGTAAAATGAGTAATTTTACTTTATAAAATTGATGTAGGGGTCATTGTCCAAATTTTGGTTTATTTTATAAAGGTTCTAGAGAATAAAAAAAATACATTCCCTGATTTTGTTGTATTTTTTTTTGTCTTATCTGGTTGCATTTTTTTCCCCTTTTACTTGTTTATTTTCTTATGGTAGAGGTGGAAAAAATCATGGTGAAAAGACATGGCCAAAAGAAGAAATCACCTTTGGTAGGGTGATCATTTCAGAACTAATTCAGTTCCTATAGATAGAAGAACTAGGAAAACTTTTAAAAGAAGACACTTGAGAGACAAACAAATCCCTACAATGCTGGTGGGAAGGAGTGTGGACTAGCAGAAAAGACTTGGATGGCAATCTGGCCATTTTTAGCCACAAACTTAAATGTCCATTTGGTAAAGAAATTTTCTTTCTAATTATCTAATATCAGGAAATTATCACAGGCAGAGAAGACCATTTAGAAGAGTGTTCTTTGCATCAACATTTATTTTCTTAAAAGGAAGTATTTTAGCTCTCTACTTGTAAAGGACTGGCATTAAGTTGTGGTACATCGTTAGGACAATAAAATACAGTAATCAAAATTATGCTCAAAAATTATTTAAAGTCAGGGGGAAAGTGCTTATTCTATGTTGCTGATTAGAAAAAGATGAATATCGAAAAGTATCTCAAATTTGTTAAGCAAATATAATTTATAGCTGTACAGGGAAAAAAAGACTAGAAGGAAATAAAAATAATAGCGGAGGTAATGTGGATTTAAATTTTACTTTTTTTAAACTTTTGCTTTCCAGACTTTCTAGGATGAGTATATAGTACTTATTAATGAAAATGAATCATATTTCTAAAGGTATGATAGGGAGAATAGTGTGTGTATATTGTGTATGTGTGTGTGCACGCATAGGTGTGTGAGGTGAAGCGACAAAGTAAAGCATTGGGATTTATCCTTTAGAATTTCTGAATTTACAGTTAGGCGGGCCTTGTTCCCTCGAGTTCCTCCTCACTTACCTACGCCTATCTGAAGAACCGCAGTGCAGGTGTTAGCAGGTCTCCCAGAAGGAAAAAAACGTGGAAAGTCAGAGGATCCAGACTGGGGGTGGGCCCTCACTTTGGTCCCCGCTTCAACCTCATCTCCATCACACACATTTTCCAAAGCGGAAGAATGCATCTCCTCCTCTGAGTTTTTGCTTTGCCCGTACCTAGCTGCGGCTAGAAGGAAAGCTATGTTCTCTGTCTACAGCTAAAAATTTGAAAGTGCGCGCTCAAGCTGCGCTGCACTGGGAAGACCAGGTCCTTTTCCCGGAAGCCCAGGGGAAGCCCCGGCTCGGCGGCCAAAGTCCCGAGAGCTCGAGATCCCCAGAAGCCCAGGAGCGACCCTGGAGCCTGAGCCCGAGCTCCCCCCTCCCCCCTCCCCGTCCACCTCGGGGTTCAAGCGTCGGTCTCCCTCCCGGAGGGACCCGATTGAGTTTTCTGGTTCTGCGCGTTAAGGGAGGGAGGGGAGGGGAGGGGAGGGGAGGGGAGGGGAGGGGAGGGGGGATCATGTCCCTTCTCAGAGGTCGCCTGTCCACTGGACTCTTCTTTCCTCATCTCCTTCCTTCTAGACAAGCCAAAGAGGACCGGACCAGAGGTCCGGAGACCCCACCCCCTGGACCCCCTGCGAATGTTTCTGTTACAGGACCACCCTAGGCGCGCGGACCCTCCAGGATTGGGCAGCACCGACTCTTGAGGCTTTAAAAAAGGGGGTGGGGGTGGGGAAGGTAGGGACCTCTATTTTATTTCTTTTCCTTTCTCCTTCCTTCCTTCCTTCCTTCCTTCCTTCCATTTTCTTCTTTCTTTCTTTCTTTCTTTCTTTCTTTCTTTCTTTCTTTCTTTCTTTCTTTCTTTCCTTTCTTTTCTTTCTTTCGAAAAGAGAGGAATCTGGTCTGGACTCTCGAGAAGCCCCGGAAGCGTGCAGTTTGGGGAGAGGGTTAGCCCCTGGCCCGCAGGCGGGCAGAAGCGGGTTCTGGGCGCTCGCGTCAGCAGCCCCAGCGGGGTCTGAGTCCCAAAGCGCCCTGCCCTGCCCGCCGCTGCCCCAGACTCCGCTGAGACCGCTCGCGTGTGAACTAACCCTAGGGCTGCCCCGCTTCTCGAGGGGCTGTGATTTCGCAACCCCGGACCAAACTCCAGAAGGCCAGACCCTTCTCTCTTGCAGAGTCCCTTCTGGCCCCCCGGCCGCACCCTGCCAGGTCCTGAAGCACCCCGAGGCCGCGCGCGCCCAGCAGAGGAGAGGAGGCAGGAGGCGCCTCCATCCCACTCCCGCTCAGCCGGTTTCTTTCTTTTCGCAGCTCTCCAGGAGCTCGGTCATGAAGGAAATGTAGACGATGGCCAGGCGTAGGGTCTCGATCCGGGACAGCCTCTTCTCGTAAGCAAAGGTGGGCACCTTCCGTCGCAGCTGGTCGAAGGCCTCGTTGAGGTTGAACATCCGCTTCCTCTCGCGGATGTTGGCCGCCTGGCGCTGGGCATAGGTGATCACCCTTTTCCTCTTGGGACGGCCCAGCGGGGAGGCGCCCCTCCCGCGCTCCTCTTCCTCCTCCTCCTCCTCCTCCTCTTCCCCCCCCTCCTCTACTTCGCCCTCCTCTCCTGGGTCCACCTCCTCAAAGCCTGCCAGCCTTCCGCGCCTTCCCTCTCGGGGCACAAGGTCCCGGTCCCCAAAGGGAGCCCCGGGTGCGAAGTCGCAGAGGAGCGGGTGCCCGGGGGAGTCCAGGGACAGGTCTGCGACGAAGTCCAGCACGGTGGCGTCCACGCCGCCCTCCGGATAGGCCATCGCACCGCCCCGGCCCTGCCTCGCATCGGTTCCTCGCGGGGAGCGGCGAGACTCCTAACAGCTCTCGACCGGCGGCAGCGCCATCAGCGAAGGGCCGGGGGAATTCGTATTTATAACCAAGCGGATAACGGGATTAGTGGCAACGAGAGGGAAGGCCCTGGCAGTGTTGTCCTCCCGAAACTGATGGAAGAAGACAAGCTTGAGCACGCAAGGGAGTCTCAAAGGGTTAGGCCTCCGATTCTGAGATCCTTTTCGATGCGCCACCTGGGACAGTTCCTATTTGGCAACAGACCCCAGCTCTTACCTGCTGTGCTTTTTTTGTGTGTGTCTCTCCTCACCCCCCGCAGCCAACTAATATTCTTCAGGCTCCTTATCTCATGTAGCTCTTTAATTTAGCTTTGGGTTTTCAAAGCGAGGATGTTTTCCACCGCTCTGGCTTCTCCCTGGCTTCAGAGTAGAAGTCTTGGATCTTGCCACCGGAGGCTGCCACTGGGTGTGAAACAAGTGCATGCGCTTTTAATGATGTCCTGAAGAGGGGCCCTGTCTGCCGGGGGTCGAGGGGAGCTGTTTGTCTGGTATCCCAGTGCAGCGGCCACTGAAAGGCAAGATCTTCCATTAGCTTAAGTAAGCACGGTAGGGGGGGCCGAGAGCGCATTCCCCGCAGTCGCTGTTGGAACCGGCTTTCTCCTTCCAGGTCATCGAAAAAGCTCTCCTGCCTCGTTACAAACCCTGATTTCTAAAGTCCGTTTTGTTGCAATCAGCCTAACAGCTGAGATACTTGACTCTCCTTTCCCTACTTATCTCTTACTCATGTAAAGAGCAAGATTTCACTTGAGGACAAAAGTTATGAAGGCTATAAAATGGGGGGAAAAAAGGGAGGCACATAATATTTTGTCTGAGTGTACTTAACTGTGTAACCCCAGCGTGGGGGGCAAAGCAAACCTTCTCTCCCCCCCCCAAAGCAAAACAACTTCAATCTCCTTTCAAAAATGAGATTTGCCCTTTGATAAGCCAATGGGTCGTTCAGATCACCCTCTGTTGTGAAGTCTGTCGACTTTTAAACTCCCTGCCGATCGGTATTTGCGAACACAGATAAATCTTCACTTCCACCTGGCTTATTTTCCTCATTGATTCGTACTGCCCTACAGGACTTAAGAGTGAAAACTTCTGAATTCTATTTAAGGGAGATTTTAAAGTTATCTTTAGATCATGTTTTTGAGGTGAAAGGAGATTTTACATTTGGTAAAAGGAAAATGAGGTTCTACTGATTTCATATTACCTCTAATACTTTAACAAAGAAAGGGTTCATTTTTCCTTCTTTGCCAGTAGCTGTATTTATTATACAGTGTAGGGATTTTTAAGACACGGAAGAGCAGAATAACATGTTAGAAAATTGTTTTAAAGATGGGTTAGAAGAAATAATCTTAAAAGACGAGTAAAGAGACACCTTGGCTCAAGGAAGAATCCCCGAAGATAACAACTCCTACTAAGGAGGTAAGTTGTGTGCCCGTTTTTGTTAGTACATTGGACAGCTCCCAGAAACAGCCTATTTCTTACAGGTCAGCACAATTCCTTCTCTTCCTGGCCTCCCCGTGTGTACTCCCAGCAGTATCATCTTGAATTCTTCTTTTTCTATCATCCATCCTTTCTTTTAACCCACTTGTGTCTGTGTTCTCCCTTGCTCTTTTGTTCTTTGGTTGATTTTCTTTTCTTTTGCGTTTATTCTTCATGCTCCAACGTGCATGGTGGTAGCTCAGGCAGAGAAATGAAATATATGTTCTTGAAAGATGTTAGTGAATATGAGATCCTTGATTATGATAACCTGTTGATTTTTACTCAACTTCTTTCAAAGAGAAGACTGAAAAAAATGAATTGGAATTTCAACAGTGACTAAAAGATAAGCAAATGGGAGAACTAATTTTTGTTTTGGTAAGCAGTAACATGATATCTAACTCTTGTTTAACAATGTGTTATTAAATATTTGGACACATTTTATAGTTCATTTTTAGTTTTTAAATATTTCTCATAAATTTCTCTTTTAAATGCAAACGTATGTGGATTGAATGCCTGGATTAAATACTTTATCTTGTGAGAATCTAGTTTGACAACAAAATATATTAGGACACTTACTGAAGGGAAACATGACAGACATTTAAAAGTAAAAGTTAATAAAATAGGTATCAGAACTATCACGGGACTCTAAACAGACATTTTTCTTGGACTAAAATTCTTTATGATTTTATGCAAGGGGATGAATATTTCAACAATCTTATCACAAAAAAAGCCTACAGCAATATTAATGGAACCCAACGCACAGAACTGGGTTGAAATATTGACATTAAAATATTAGGGAATTTATTAAAAATTTCTTAATAGGTCTGTAGCAATACTTTAAAAATACAATTTAAATAGGTCTGCAGCAATAATTAAAAATCCAATTTAATCATAATATCCCAAGATTAACACTTCTGTTTATACCACAATAATTTCAGTTTACCCTACAAGGCTCTAATCATGATGACACAATGAGAGCAAAAATGTTAAAATCCAAGTTATAATGATGGACTCTATTTTTTGTTTATAAATATAACTATGGAACAGAAATAAGTGAAATTGTTTTTATCTGCTTATTTTGAAACAGCTACTCTTTTAAAAAATACTTTTGTGGATATTTGGCTCCACAGTAAATATACACTTAAAAGTAGTAAATTATGTAAGTGATCTAAAACAGCTCATCTCATTGGAAGGAACCATTAAACCTCATTAAACTTATTTATTTTATTAAAATATTTCCAAATGAAATCAGTACCTTTTCTGCCCTTGGAAGCTCCAGGAAAAGGTTCAAGAAATGTAAAAGGAAATCAATTTTAGGATTTGTCTATATTTAGAGCTAAGAAATTCTTGCTTACATCCAAACTAACTTGTTGATATTCTACTTATAATCCTGAGTTCAAATGGAACTAAAGGCTCCTCAGAATGGTGTAGTTCAGGGATTGGCAAAATTTCTTTTTAATTGGCAAAATAGTAATTTAGGCTTTTGATAGGTCATACAATCTCTGCTGAACTACTCAACTTTGCTTTTGTAGTATAAAGGTAGCCATAGAAAATATGTAAATGAAAAAGACTGGGTGTGGGCTCTGAAACTTTATTTACAACATTAGGCAGTGGGCTGGATTTGACTCTTGAACTGTAGTTTGCTGACCCTGTCCTATTTAATAAGCCTATCTTCACATTCCTTGGAGTGCCTATTATGAGGACTTGCTAAGATAAAGCATTTAAACATATAAGTGAATATTAAGTTGTTGAGCACATACATGTGTATATGTGTGCCAGGAAGATGGACAGGAATTGTGAAAATTCTCCTGAAGCAACTGAATCTGTAGGCACTGTGACTAAAATTATACTGAGGTGTTATAGAGTAACAAGAAGAGGCTCTGCATGGGAAGCATGCATACCAGGCTAAAGTTGCTATTGCCCAGACTGAAGGCTTATTTCTAGTCACTGAAAGAAAACACATACCAAATATGATGATGTAGTCTTTAAAGTATTAGCATTACCAGGTTTGGGGTGAATTATATTTAACTAGGAAAAAATAAGGAGGAGGCAAAATTCCTGGAAAGCAAGCTTTTACTTTATGAAGTACTTCTAATTGTCAGAATTCATTCAATAAAGGCAGATGCTTCAAGAGGCTTATTTATCCTTTGTACTCTTATTTCCACCTATACTGCCTCCTGCCTCCCATAACTGTAGCAGAAACTGCTCAGCATTCCCCAGTATCTACTTACTCTTTTTCCTTTTAGTAACAGACCTACCCACACATATATTAGCTGGGCATGTTTCTGACCCACTGAATTTTTGCTGAGCACATGTCTACCCCACAACACTGGAGTAAATGAGACATAGTATGTGCAAGTTCAGGTTGGTCTTTGGAAACAATTGAAATTGTTTGCTTTCCACTTGGTCTTTTGCTTTCTTACTCTAGCCTGGAATGTGAGTAGTTTGGTGGTGTGCTAGCACTAACCAAGGGGCTGGAAGACTTTTTCGATACAGGGCCAGATAGTACCTATTTCAGGTTGTGTAGGCTATATGATCTCTGTCACAACTCCTCAACTCTACCACTGTAAGGTAAAAACACTACAGAAAATACATAAATGAATGGAGGTAGCTGAATTCTAATAGAATTTAATTTACAAAAGTAAGTGGCAGGCAGAATTTGATTCCCAAGCTATAGCTTGCTGAATCCTGCCCTAGGTGATACAGAGCAACAGAAAACTGGGACCTGAAATGATCTAATGGAGTAGAGCTGTACCTCTCAAATTCAGATTAATATGTGAGAAAAGATATACCTCCAGTGTATCTCAGATCTCTTTATTTAGTGTTGTGTTTTCTGCTGGCACCTAAAAAATTAGACAATGATTTGAAAGATTAAACAGATAGATATGCTATTTTATTTTTAATTTTTATTTTTCCACATTTTAAAAAAGATTATTTATTTATTCATGACAGAAAGAGAGAGAGAGAGAGAGAGAGAGAGAGAGAGAGAGAGGCAGAGACACAGGCCGAGGGAGAAGCAGGCTCCATGCAGGGAGGCTGATGTGGGACTCATCCAGGTCTCCAGGATCATACCCCAGGCTGAAGGTGGTGCCAAACCGCTGGGACATTGGGGCTGCCCTTTTCCCACATTTTTATTTGAATTCTAGTTAGTTAATGTATAATGTAATATTTGTTTCAGGAATAGAATTTAGTGATTCATCACTTATACATAATACCTAGTGCTCATCATAACAATGACCTCCTTAATGCCCATCACCCATTTGACCCACCCCCCACCCACCTCCCTCCATCAACTTTCACTTTGTTCTCTATCATTAAGGGTCTTTTATGGCTTGTTTCCCTCTCTTTCTCTCCCCCCTCCATATGCTCATCTGTTTTGTTTCTTAAATTCCACATTCATGTGAGTGAAATCATATGCTATTTGTCTTTCTCTGACTTATTATGCT